GGCCTGATACGCGCGTGTGTGGGCTTTGTTTTGTCGGTACTACGAAGTAGTGGGAAGAAAGTGATAGGTAAGAGATGTTCGGTACTTGGTTGCATGTCTTCACAGGAAGTAACGAGCAAGAAAAGCATGTACGATGCAGGTCATTCGCCCTAGTCATCCGTGGGCAGTTAAGTGGAAAGGTTCACAACACAGAACCTAGCAGAGCGTAAAATCGGTACCAAGTGCTGCAACGTGAGTGGACCGTGGCACTAGTGTCAGCAAACCAAACCCTGGCAGGGTACAGAGTCCCGAAACAATAAACCGTAAACTCTAAAAAGGCTTAAGAGCGTGAGCGAGGAGGAGCGGCAGTCCTCGTAATCGTCGTCTTCCAATGCCAGGGCACTTACATTACACCCCAAACCCCAGACCCTCAACCCTAAACCCCAAGCCCGAAATTCTGAACCCTAAACCACAGATTTGCTTTCGCCTCAACAGGGCGTGAGGCCCTGGACCTGCGGCCCGTCGCATCCTTCGGAGCCGAAGTGCGAGGCGCTCCGTTTCTTTACTTCGCTGAGGGAGACATGGGTATCGAGTAGCTCTCCTAGGGTTGCTGGCATATAGGGCTTGGGGAATTGTATATGTAGAGTTAGGATCGCTCAGGCTTTGTTACAAGTTGCCGGAGTGGGCAACACATCGCGTGGGAAGGTAGAGGAGGTGCTAAGCCAACATCATGGATGTGCGTTGGGTTTAGGGTGTAGGATTTATGGTTTTGGGTTTTAGGGTTTGGGATGAGGTCTCAAATTTTCAATTGTGCGAAGTTGCAGCAAGTCCATAGTTGAGCCATGCAATGACAGCCCGGTAATGGCCATCATGGATGTTCTCTTTCGTTGTTGGTTCACACAGCTGCACAAGGAGTTTTGCAATCTCATATTGCATTTATGATCGTATTCTCATATATTTCTTACTCTTTTGTATTTATTAACACGTGTTTCTTACAGTCTTTTGGGATTGCGACATAGTTCCTCTGGTATTATTGTGGTGCTACTGTATTACAGTAGTTAGCCCAGCCCTCAGCACCAGATAGCGCCAGGCCTCGATCTCAGTTCTCCGGATTTGCCGTCCGGGCAGCTGCGCGCGCTGTCCCCCGGCATTCAAACGCCCACCCTAAACCCTAAACCTTAAAACCCTAAAGCCTAAACCCTGAATCCAGGAAGGTAAGGTCCTGCAGCAAGGAGTCCTGAGCTTCGAAGCTCATGCGTTCAATGTGGATGGACTTTTGCTTGAACTCCAAAGACCTGGGTCGAACTCCCGATATCGATCGGTCGCGACATTCGGAGATGAGGCTTTGGGAGCATGGCCTCCTGCTGTTTCGTGATCAGGACTTGCTGGAGGAGGCAGTGGGCGGCATCAGCTTGCGAATGTTTGTTACATACTATACTTTTCCCAGGAATGACTGCTGCTTTTTCAGGCAGATCAATCTAGAGGCTAAAGTTCTTTTGATGGACGTCTGAGCAGCTTTCGGAAGCACCGACACACCCTTTTCGCCAAAACTCTCAGCCCTGAACTGCCTGAGGCCCTAAAACCCACAAAACCCTAAACTTTGTGTTTTGAGGATGTCCTCCGTGTCGCTTCAGCTTTTGCAGAACCCGTCCCTGCTGCCGGGCAGCAACGTGCGCTGGCCACGTACCGTGCCTTGTCTTCTCACGGTTCCAGAATTTTTGTAGGATTCTTGATGAGGCTTCGGGCTTGTAGTGATGTCTAGAGTCGAGGACCTATGCCTGGTATTTGTTCATGAGGGATTCTCGAAATTAGGATTCCTTCCAGTGTACATCTTGCTTACAAGATTGCAGTGCTCCTTTTGGGAGTACGGGTACTCCACGTACTGGAACACGGAATCCCAGAAGAGGGTGAAAAGCGATGACCCAATACGGACCATTACTAGCAGTTGATTCTGATATTGTCTGTAGGGTAGGATTGAGCTTCATCATTCTCATTCTTGGCTTATAATCATTGTTGCCTCTATTGTCATTAGCAGTAGTGGTAGTAGCATTATTCTGATGATTCTCGCTGGTTTAAGATTGAGTCGGTAGTGGGAACATGCTGCGGGCTTTAGTCCCTGAGCTTTCACATACCTAAATCGATTGTAGCAGAGGAGAGTGAACTATCTTACGTGATCACCAAGCTTGTGTGCACTCCATGCACTAGGAGTTCCCTTTTGCCATCTTCAGCAACATACACCATAAACTCTAAACGCTAAAGCCAAAAGCCTGAACTCTAAACCCTCTAAGCCTTCTAAGCCCTAAACCCTAAACCACTGCTGGATGGATCTTATGAACTTGGACATACAGACAAGTACAGTACTCATGTATAATACATATATATTTATATATATATATATATATTTATACACGTACGCATAACATATGTATGTATGCATTCATGTATGTATGTATGTATGTATGTATGTATGTATGTATGTATGTATGTATGTATGAACGCACATTTCTGTATGAATGTATGTACATTTGTGACATACCTCTCTCTCTCTATATATATATATATAAATAACGTATATATGTCTTTTGTGTATATATATATATACCCACGTATGTATATACACGTATGTGTATATATACATATTGCATGTTTGCATACATAAATGCACAAATGCATACACATATGTATACTATGCATGCATATACATGTATTGGGGTACACATACAGTTACATATACATTTACATTGACGATGATGATGATGATGATGGTGATTGTGATGATGATGGTGACATATACACATATGTAGATAGATAGATCGATAGATAGATAGATGGATAGATATGTAGATAGATAGATCGATATATATATATATATGCATACATATCATCGATATATGTATAAATACATGTTCGTGTCGTGTTTTGAAACGCCTGAAACGCCACAACAACGGACCCATACACACCCACACCCAGGTGTTTGCAACCGAGATCCTGCTCTGCGAGGATCAGCCTACATTGCTTGGCCCAGTACAGGGCAGCTAATACCAACAAGGGTTTAGGGTTTCGGTTCGAGAGAAGCATGCAGATAAAGCGACGGAAGGAGAATCGATACCTTGATTCCTCAAGCCTTCGGTTGCTTTTTCAGGTCTTAGTGTGACATTTCATATTTCAGCCTGGCGCAGGACAGGATTTCTGGCATTCCGACAACTCCTACGCCTGGCACCCAGCGAGCTGAATTTTTTTCAGAACTCCTCACACACTGGGTGATCCTACTTAAACTCTGCACCCTGAAGTCCTAGAAAAGTGCAGGTTTGGGGAGAGCATTGGGGCCGCGGCTTTGAGGCCTTCCGAAGCCCTGGACCCAAGCCCGACACACCAGACCCTAGACCCTAAACCTTAGTCCCTAATCCAGAAACCCTAAATCGTAAACTCCGAAATACATCAGCCCAGCCCAGCCCGGCCCCAAATTCGAAAGCTCCTCAAAACTTTCGGTTAACGTTTCGATCAAAAAGCTCGACGCCCAAACCCTTAACAATTTCAAAAACCCGAAAAGCTCCAAGAAATCCTAAAACCGCAAGCCCTCTCAACGCCTAGTAACCCCAAAGCGAAAAGCCCGGAGGCGCCAGAGTCCGGGGGCCCCACTTTGCTGTATGCCCTGGACGTCCCGGTCGGGCCCGAGGCTAGGGTTTAGGGTTGAGGGTTTAGGGGTTGAGGGTTTAGGGTTTAGGGTTGGGGTTGAGGGTTTAGGGTTTAGGGTTTAGGGTTTAGGGTTTAGGGTTCAGTGTTTCTCGTCCAGAACAGTATCAGTAAACCCGGAATAAGAGTAATAAGAGTAATAATTAAGAGGAATATTGATCGTCTAGAACAGTAAAACTCGGAATAAGAAGAAGACGAATAAGAGAAATAAGATGAATACCGATACTACTCCTCCTGCTCCTCCTGCTTCTGCTGCTGCTGATAATCATAACAGTTTAACAATAACAACAACTAAAATTTTGGCAATAATCAACCATGACACAAGATAAACGATAATAGTCAAAAGAGTACTAGTAACACGAGTACTACTAGCAATACTAGCAATAATACTAATAGCACCAGTGACAACAATAACAAGAAGAACAACAACAGCACTCCTTAGAGTAGTGGCACTAACAACAATAGTATCCATAATAACAAGAGTAGCAAGAAAAACCAATAATATCAGTAGTAACTATAGCAACAAGAACACCAGCAGCAACAATAACAATGCTGGAGTAGCGTGTAGGGTTTGGGGTTTAGGGTTTAGGGAGTGTGTCTTCAGCACAGGTAGCGGTGCACAAAAGCGCATGATTTCCGCTTGGATGCCGTGGTTGTCTACATGTTCAATGAAGCTATTTGTTTCATGGCTTAGAGTCAATTCTTTGAGCGATTCTACTGATTTCCCTCCACGACAATATCTGTTATTAGTAGTGTCGTGATTGATTATGGTTCTTTGTTCTTCTTGTTATGATTATGAGTAATGCTATTGTTACTTTTATCAGACTTATCATCATTGTGACTGTTTGAAATTGTTGTTGATATCAATAACTCGTTCGCAAGCATTGGTAGGTTTTCTTTTGCTAGGATTCGCAGTCTTGCCGTCTCTACTACAGTTGTTATCCATCATTCATGGTAATGAACCAGATGACTAGTAGAAATAGGACTGGTGGTAGTAGTAGTAGTAGTAGTAGCAGCAGTAGTAGTAGCAGTAGCAGTAGCAGTAGCAGTAGCAGAAGTGGTAGCACTAGCAGCAGCAGCAGCAGCAGCAGCAGCAGCAGCAGCAGCAGCAGCAGCAGCAGCGGCAGGAGCAGCAGCAGGAGCAGCAGCAGGAGCAGCAGCAGGAGGAGCAGCAGCAGCAGGAGCAGCAGC